TCCTGGTACTCATTCATAACATGAATGACTTAGAATGACTTAATGAGAATCTCGCATTGTTGTTTGTTTGTCCTAACCCATAATAATCCACAACAGGGTCAGAGTAAAAATACCATGATTCCCACCAAGCTTTGGAATGCTCTTTTTGCTCTAATAGTACAACCCACTCAAGATTTTAAAACCATCTGTATGTCCAGTCCACATGTCCCAATGCCCTGGCAGTGCTTTAAGTCCCTTGGAGGGACAGGGAACATTTCCCTAGAACACAGGAGGCCTTGGGTTCTTGCCCTTGGGTTAAACCATAAACTGGAAATACCCTTGGGTTTCATTTTTTCATATTTAAAATGACTCATTTTGGAATAAGGAATGATATAACCATGGATGCACGCCATGAGGACTTCCTGTTTTTGTTCTTGATGTTGTCATGACCATATGTGTTGAGGTGGATGGAGGGGGAGGTACCACCTCGGCAGTGTCTTACTGAACAGCTGCAAAGAGCAACTTAGCTTCTGGGAGAAATGTCTCCAAGGCCTCAGCTCTGCTGGGTGAAGAAGACATTTGTTCTGCCACCCACCATGTAATCCATCCTTGAATTTTAATGAGTTAGCCTTTGGGCTGCTAGACAGAAACAAGCCACGGCATCCTGCATCAATCCTGCTGACTTCGCACGCTGCCTCTGAGACTTAAAAAATGAACTGTTTTTATTGTCAAATACATGATAATTGTGCTCAAAGGGAATTTGCTTGCACATGAAAATTGCCTCTGTAAGTAGCAGCACTTTGGACTCTAAATCCAGCGGCTCTCAAGGCTGACCCTACCTGACTGAGTATCTAGACTATGATTCCTGCCCGAGGTTAAACTTTCACATGTGGGCTTCCACTGTCTTTAAAAGTCCTGTGTAACTGATACTGAACTGTTAGGTTGTTACTATCTGAACCAGCACCAAGTATACTATCTGTCCACAAACACTGGTTGTTTCAATATTCCTATCACTGCATGCTGTTGTCAACTGTAGTGTCATTTCATCTGTGTCTGCTCTCCTGCCCCTAACCAGTCCTCTGAGAGGTAATAAGTTCTTCGAAGGCATAAATGCACCATACTCCCTTGTTTCTCTGTGTATTCATAAAAAAGCATGAGAGATGCTGGACAAAATTGCATCTGGATTATAGTGGATGAACACAAGGTGCTGTTGACGCTCATACATGCACAAAAGCCACCATTTAAAGACAAGATGCCGATGGCATGCAAACCCTCACACTAACACCCAGTCTCACGTTGACCTCCTCAGACTCTATAAACATTTGTGTATATATTTTATTCATCTTTCTTTGAAAGCTGTTTTAGCTGGAGTTTGTTGGACTATGTGCTGTAAGGAGTATCTATAATATTAATTTTGCTAAAAGATTATACCCCATGGCTCCCAGTTCAGTTTTTCAATTCTCCATCAAGGCAGCTTATCTTTTCTTAGAGCAAGTGGAAAACCTTGTTATATGAGCACAGGGCCTGTGGCCTCCAGCCTCCCTCTAGCCTCCAGCCTCCAGCGGTCCTTTGGGAGAAGACACAACAGTGGGCCTCTGGCTGGTCACACTCTCTTTAGTAGCTATCTCAGCCTTGCCTTGAATCCTCAAGACCTCTCCTCCCTTAGGCTGCCAGGCCTCTCATCAGTCCTTGATAGGACAGTCTTGAGACTTCACTTACTGTTGCATTGGACTCTTAAGATTATCATTAAAAGCCTGAGTTTTCTGTTATACCTATTTTACCACCACTTAAAAAAAAAAAAAAAAAGGCAACTTGGCCCAGCAAAATGGCTCCTTCAAAGAAGGGAGGCAAGAAGAAGGGCCGTTCTGCCGTCAACGAGGTGGTGACCCGAGAATACACCATCTACACTCACAAGCACATCCATGGCGTGGGCTTCAAGAAGCATGCTCCTCAGGCACTCAAAAAAATCCGGAAATTTTCCATGAAGGAGATGGGGACTCCAGATGTGTGCATTGATACCAGGCCCAATAAAGCCGTCTGGGCCAAAGGAATAAGGAATGTTCCATACCATATCCGTGTACGTTTGTCCAGAAAACGTAACAAGGATGAGGAATCACCAAACAAGCTGTACACATTGGTAATCTACTTGCCTGTTACCACATTCAAAAATCTACAGACAGTCAATGTGGATGAGAACTACCCTGCTGAGTGTCAAATAAAGTTGGAGAACTGCCAAAAAAAAAAAAAAAAAAAAAAAAAAGCACAAATACACACATATACAAAACTTCATGGAGAACTCCAAGGCCATCAAACCTAAGGGCTATCAGTCCCTACCTCACACATGTACCAGCACACTGGCTCCTTCCAGTCTGAGAATGAGGCACTTTCTTCTATCCAAGGCCACTTCTACCTGTGTTTTTTAATCTGCAAATCCCTCCCTCCCTCCTTCCTTCCCTCCCACAAAGCATCATTCTACAGCCTTCATCTCTGATGAAAGGCCTCACACCCCAAGCAGCTGTGGTCCTTCATCTGTTTACATCTTCTTCCCTCATTCAGAATTTTCAAAACAGTGGGGTGTGTGTGTGTGTGTGTGTGTGTGTGTGTGTGTTCCACTTTGCCACCTCCCTGAACTCCTCTTTGTGTTTCTGTCCCTCCAGATTCCCCCCCCCCCAAATTGTTCTATTCTTGTTTAGACCATTTTCAACTTCCTTTCTACTTTCTTCAGTGGACACTGTTCAATTCATAGCTCATGTTAATTTTGAATAATAGTCTTCCAGATTTCTCTGGTTTTCTTTTTCTTTTTTTCATTTCATTTCTTTCTCTTTCTTTTTTTTTGTAAACCAGAATTTTGATTCCCTGCAAACATGCTTTCTTTTCCTCTGATCTTATCACATATTTTCAAATGTGATTCAGTCTGACAAGCACAGAGCTTCACACCACCTGGACACACCTGAACTCATCATCCCATGCCTCTTCCTCCAGTAAAGGAGATGCTCCTGTACCCAGCCTGAGTTGATACAACTGTCCGGTCATTCAATTACAGGCAGGGTTTTCATCGCCCAACCTGTGCCTTTGTCATCTATATTTAATACTGAACTCTTGCTAATTTTATTTGTTATTTTCTCTTGTTGCCTTTAATTTTAATGTTTTTATTTTTGTTTTTGTGTATGTGTGTATAGACCTACTTCTCTGTAATATACCACATGTATGTAGTGCCCATGCAGGCCAGAAGGTGTTGGATTCCCTGGAACTATAGTCACTGGCAATTGTAAACCACCTGATGCTGCTGAATATAAGAATATCTAAAGCAACCATGACTGTGCCATTTTCATGTCTTTAAAAAACTGAATGGATGATAATGAAATGAAAACCTGAACATGCTGTCCTAGATCACTTTAACTGTCAACTCAACCTGAAAAAGGGGTCTCAACTGAGAGATTGAACAGATCAAATGAAGATGTCTGTGGAAGACTGTCTTGGTTGTTAATTGATATAGGAGGGTCAAGTTCAGCATGGATGCCACCATTCCCTAGGTGGGCGGTCCTGGGCTGTCTAAGAAGCATGAACCTGAATGAATGAGCCAGCAAGGAACATTCCTCCATGGTTTCTGCTTCAGGTTCTTTCAGTGATTTCTGCCTTGACTTTCCTGGCGATACCTAGGAGTGTAAGCCAAATAAATCCTTTCCTCTGCAAGTTGCTTTTGGTCAGTGCTTAAAACAGCAACAAAAACTAGAATCCAGCCATACCATATTGTCTCCTTTTTTCTTTTTCTTTTTCTTTCTCTGAGCTCTTTTCTATCATAATCTGTTTGGCTGGGACTAACATTTTAGTTCAGCTATTTTTTTGTAGAGTGCACTCCATGCTTTGATTGCCACAAACCATCCAGCATCTGCTCCTTGGGCAGTCCGGCAAGTGCTCTCAGTGCAACAGTTCTGGTGTCTGGGATGCTGCAGGATGTAGATGACAGGCCAGGTAACAGACAGTCCCTTTTTCCTAGCACCTAGAATAGATAGACAGGTTTAACTCCCACTGTCTGTGCTACCAGGAACTGGCAGGGAAAGACCATGTTCTGAAATGAACTGGATTTTTCCTCATTTAGGCGACCACTAATAGATTGTTTTCTTAAGAGTAACATTGTCTTATTCCTTAGCTGCCTTTATTTTTAATGAGTCACTTGCATCTTGTCCTTTTGCTTAAATGCTCTGTGATGATGAGGACATTCATTCATTCATTCAACACACACACCATTAGTTCCTCATGGCATGCCCTGGGATTGCAATGAAATCATCAGTCATGTATCTGACTGCTCCTGTCCTGTGAAATATAGGAAGGTGGAAGCTACAGCTTTCTCCTGGGTCCTTAGGCCTAGTAGGTGCCTGGTGCCATAATCAACACTTGACTGTTTTGTTTTTTTTTTAATTCTGAAGCTTCTTTTTAAAATTGTTATTACGTGTGTGTGTGTGTGTGTGTGTGTGTGTGTGTGTGTGTGTGTGTGTGTGAAATATGTGTGTGAGAATACATGACATGGCTTATGTGTGAGACCAGAAAACAACATGAGGAGATAGTTTTCTCCTTCCTATATGTGGGTCCCAGAGATTGAAGCCAATTCCTGAGGGTTGGCTGCAAGCACATTTTCTTATTGATCCATCTTGCTGGCCTCTTGGTCAATTTTTGGCTGTATAATCAGTACCATCAATCTGCATGGCTCTGCAACAAGGACTTCCTTCCTCAAGAGTCCGGGATGGGCCTGCTAACAGATGAGCTTCCTGGGAAAACTCCATCCCTCCACACACACTTCTCTGGACAGAGGTAAGTAAGGATGGGAGATGGGGGCACAGAAGAACATGAAGAAAGTTTTTAGGTGAGAGACCCAAAGCACCAATGTAAAACTGGCTGATGATGTCCTCAAAACAACTGCAGAATTTATTTTAGTAAACTGGCATGCTGTCAAAGTGCCTTTGACATTTGCATTTGCTCCCACAGGCCTGACTGCTCACAACACTATTAGGGGAAGCATCGGATAGCACAGCAGTCGAGAGAGAGATGCAGAGCTCCTCACAGAGCAGAGAGTGAGAGCCCGAGCTCAGCTCTGAAAGGGACATCTATACCATACATAAACCCCTGCACCACTACCCAGGCTCGGGGCACATCACAGAAGAGGAGGTGGACAGAATGTGAAAGCCAGAGGATGGGAAAGCATTGGGTGCTGTCTTCCGGACATGGCATGGCTATTACAATCAGGAACTCATAGAAGCTGTGATTGCTTACACAAGACCAGGGCCATCAAAATCCCAGCACAGACCGGGTAGATGATCTCCAGGCCCCACCCCTCACTGAGGAGCTACTGTAGTAGCTCCCACTAGTAGTTTTCCCATGCTGCAGCAGATGGCCCCATGCCATGCACATATGGGCAGCACTGGACTTCACGGGTTATTGAAAAAAGAGAGAGAGAGAGGAAAGACAAAGTTGAAAAGGGCTGTGTTGGAGAGCATGTAGGAAGAGCTGGGGGTGAGAATTCAGAGTGCATATGATTGGATTTCATTGTATACATTATGAAATTCTCAAAAGTAAAGAGCAATTTTTTAAAAGAGAATAAGTTGTTGTATAAGGGGGAAAATGGCAGAATTTTGCTACTTTCTGCTTCTGAAAAATCTCTCCAGTGCTGCAGACACTGACAGCCTTAAAAATAGAAAGCTGTCAAAATTTATGGATGTTTTGAGGAATATAACTGCAAGAAACAAGCACACATTTATCTACCAATACATTTTTAAATAGTGGCTGTCATTAAGTCTGCTAGCTTAGCAACTGGTTTTGGCAGGGTTTCTTTAGAATAACAGGCACTTTTCTACACGGCACCCAGCTAAGGCTAAATAAGGGAATACCGTACACCTGTCTGGAGAAACAGAAAGCTTTCCTTATTCCAGCCCAAGAATGTTTCCTTGGCACCAAAAATCCTGGTTTTAGCTGGAAATTTCCTTCAATTTAGAAGCCCCAATGACTATAATTCTATTGCTGTTTTCCTATACTATGATTAATTATTTTTTTACCAAGCAAAATATTTGTATATGTGCTTAAAATGGTGCCTTTTGTCATTTTTTTTCAAAGGAATTTAAATACAGAATGCATCTAAGTAGCACTAGAACCCTCCCTCCTTTCTCTGCTACCCTTCCCAGCATTCTTCGCTCCAAAGCTGCTATGAGCCTCTTGTTGGCAGCACCCCACTTTGCCTTGCTCTGTCTGCACGGATGCTCCTCTAGGCCCTGGGCTGGCCACATTCCAGGTTCTTCCTTTCATGCCATCTTAGTAAACACTTTGCCCATCATGTTTGTTGGTACCTCGTCTCCTGGTGAGAGTCCTTTGTCTTTGTGTCTCTTGTTGGATAGATAACACTGTCCCCTCACTTTCTGAGGGAAATGCTTGATGGTACAGCCTTTAGTTTTACAATTTTGAAATGCCCATATTCTCTCTCCTCACATGCTCACTGACTGAACGTGGAATTCTACACCACAGGTCTTGTCTACTTCTGGGGGCTGCATTGCAGCAGATGGCATGGCTAAGGTGCTGCTAATGGCTCCTGCTTTCCCCTGGGTGTTTCCTGAACTCTCTTCATCCTCATGAAGTTTCTCATTGACACCTCGGCACCATGTGTTTCTTTTTAGTCACATTTGATGAATGGTTTCAATCTGGAAATAATTTCATTCCCTTGTGGGACATTTTCTTAAATTACTGTTTTTCTCATTTCTATTTCCCTGGGTCTCTTTCTGGATCTTTTATTCATCAAGTATTAGAAACTCTAATGTCTATATGTTTTCATCATTTCTTTTCCATCTCTTGGAGGTTTTTTGTTGTACCTTTTGGGGGAATCAACTCAGCTAGCTACATAGTGTGAATTTTTTAACACTGCATCTAATCTTTATATTGATTTACCTAATCATAAGGATTTTAAAATAGCATTCACCTATTATTTAACAATTTCATATATGCACACAATGTATTTTGATCCCATCAATCTCATTTCCCCTCTCCCACTTCCTCAAGAACCCCAAACATCTCCTCCCAACCAGTTTCATGTCCTACTGTGCTACTCCTTTTTTTTTTTTTTTTTGTAACTCACTAAATCAAACTAGTGCTGCCTGCTAAAATGTTAACTTGTTGATTTGCTCTTATGCAGGTAACCATAGTTTTAGTGAGTTCATGAGTTCAGCAGCCATGTCAGGTCCAAAAGACAGCATTTCACAGCACCCTCCTGGTCTCCCTACTGTTAACATTCTTTCTGATTCTTCTTCATTGAAATGACCTGATCGTTGAGGGGGAGAGTTGATATAGATGTCCTATGTAGGGCTAAGAGCATTCTATGGTCACTTATTCCCAGTCTTTTGACTAGCTGTGAGTTGCCGCATTAACTGCTGCCCACTACATAAAGGAGTTGAGAGTGGCATTAGTCTGTGGGTAATAATATTTAGACGGCAGTTTGGCAAGATGTCCATTTAGCAACAGATGTAGTTTTGCCCTACCCCAAGGTCTATGACCTCCTGAGCCTTGGTCTTTTAACTAGGTTTACAGTACCAGGTATGAATTCCTTTCTATGGAATAGACCTCAAATCCAATAAGAAAGTGGGTATTATCCCATAAGCTTCATGTCACTGTTGTACCAGTGTGTGCATCTGACATACCAGGTCAGTATGATAGTATGTAATACACACTGCTGTGTAGTAAACACTTTCTAACACTACAAAAGCTAGCCAGCAGGCAGGAAGTTTTGAGGTCAGTTTCAGCTTGATTTCTTTCTGTCTTGCAACAAAATGTATTGTATTTTTAGCATTAGAATCTTAAGAGTCTAACTACTTAGTAATGGTGGACAAAGAAGAGCAATGGTAATAGCCTGCATTGTTTGGGGAGCTTCCGGGGCCAGTATCCCACAATGAGGACTTTCATAGATGCATTTTCTTTATTTCAAAACATTTCATTAACTGAGAAATAATATTCATAAATTAAGTGCCTAGTTTGCTAATCATAGTTTCAGTTTATCTGTTGTCTTAGAGACCCATTCATTGGCTTCCTCTTACACCCTCGAGACAGTTTTGGGTGACAAATTTATGATTTTATTACCCATTGAGTCCTTGATGTATATGAAACACTGTCCTAAGTACTTTGCAACAATGCAGTGTATACTGTAACCCTGCATAGGAGGTTCTGTTGCCATCACTTTAAAGATTGGGAGCGTGAGGTCTTACTTAAATAACATGTCTGAAGTGTCACAGCCAGTAGATGGTATATACCAAGAACTGGTTAAATGTAAGAGAAATAATGAA